GTGTGCTTTTGCCACACAGCCATAGCCCAGATCTGACCAATATACAAAGTTTCTTTTGTTCACTGGTGAGGCATATAAATCAATCTATGTTTATCTTCTCCAAAACTAATTTCCATATCACACTTGTATTACTTTATTATTGTGAGCAACATCAGGGCTTTGAGGCTTAGGATCATGACATATAATCAGATAAGATAATATCAAGAGAAACAAGAAATATTTGTCAAAAAAATCACTTAAAAGCTTGAGTTACTATGTACTTAAAAATGGCCTTCATCAGACACGTCAAAAGTTTGTTACATGTCAATAAAGCACAAGCTCACAGCTACACTAATTGATAAAAATTTATCCATAACTCTGTTGAAATCATAAGATTTAGATATGGAAGGAGTAAAAGAGAGTAAACAAACTCCTAGTAACATGTATTAGATTATATGGTGTGATGATAATGAGGTTCCAATAATATGGTTCACAACCATTTGACCAAAACTTAGACAAGTGCAATAACATTAACAGTACAAATTACAGTTAAACAGATTATGACTAGAAAACATATTGCATAAATATCAAAGGAAAACAAGTTGTGTGAATACAGGATATGTAAAACTTTGTGCTGATTACTAGCACAGAGCTCAATGAATTTATTCATATTTGCCAGTCTCAAGACACCTAGCATAATTTAAATCTTTAAAACATGTAGAAATACCTTGCGTAGAGCTTACAGAAGCGGGGAAATTATTTTTTTCTGCAAAACCACTTAATTCACTGCTCTTAGATGCTGCAGTTTCAGTCAGAGAAGGGAGGGGCTTATCCACATCATCTCTATTATTTGAAAATTTACGCATATCTGCTGCCTTTGACTGTAAGGGGAATGGCATTGTTCTTCCAGCAACTCCAACTTCTTTTCTAGAATCAGCTGCAGGCTCTGATGACCTTGCACTAGTTCTGGGGACAATTACAGGTATAATATCTGATTTATTAACAATTGGAACATTGGATGTTGTGTGAGATTTCAAAGAACTCCTTTTCTGAGCTGTTGTATTAACCACTGTGGTTGAACCACCAGGTACTGTTTTGGGACCGGAGTTCAAATTAATCCTTTGAGGAGTAGTTGGTGCACTTCCTGAGGCTTCATGCAATCCATAAGCACATAGTGAGTGATAATGATTAATTGATAACAGAATCCAGATACAATAAAGATTACATAAAAAAAAAATTGACTAAAACAAATTCAAAAAACAAAATAAGAAATTGAGAAATGAGGAAGGATATATACATGGCAAACATTTTCCCTCCTTTAAGGGGTCTGAATCTTGAGAAGAAACTGACAACCGCCCAAGAGATCTCGTTTCCTTTAGTAATTGATCTGGATTTTGTGAAACAGATAGCCTAGCCTTAGCACTGATCTCATTTAGAACAGTCATATTTCCTCCTGAGGATTTAGTTTCTGATTGACCATTTAGATGGTTCACACTATTAAGTGCATATGGTTCTATACGCTGGACAAGAGATCAGAAATGTAAAAGAGGCACATTAGTATTAAATGGTATCAAATACAAGTCAACAATTCCTATAAGAAGCAAAATTTTATCTTGAAGATAAAGTGCCTTTACCGAGATGTCCACTACCCAGACTCCAACACAGCTTTGATTGTATGAGCAGCCAAGAAGTTTTCCTTCATGAACATTAAGATCTGACAATTTAGACCAACCCACATCCACCATATCATGGCATCTTATAGGTTCCCACGAGAAAACCTAAACAGAACCAAGCAAAACATTATTACCTTCATAAATGATTTACCTCAAATAAATAAACCAAAAAACAGAGCATACCTTTAAACTCTCGTGTAAACCACAAAGCAAGGTCCTCCCATCAGGACTAAAAGTAAGAGAACGCACTCCAGATGTCTAACATATAAGAAAAAATAGTCCAAATAAACGAAAAATAACTTGACAGATTGATCCAAACGAATCATCTCGAAGAAAATGGTCAATTTCCTATGATAAAAAGTACCTCAGGACCAGCTGAACCAATAAGCTCAAAGGTTTCAAGGTCCCAGAATTTAACTGTTCTATCTGCCGAACCTAAACATGGGAAGAGATAAATGAAATAAAATTAAACTCGAAATCACTGAAATTAACAAAAAAAAAGAACTTCCAGAAAGATAACAGAATAATCCAGCCCTGTATGTGTTGCAGTAACCATAAATAAAATAATATAAAGTCATCCACAATTATTATTTGTTTATTTATTTTTAAGAAAATTTCCTACTGTTTAAAGTCAAGGTATCCCAAATTAAATAGTATTGACGTGTTCAGAAAGTTGTATTATGTTAAGTGTATCGATTGGTTTTAAGATGAAATCTAACACATGTTTTCTCTTTCATAACTTGGGTTCATCATTGAACCAGACCTAAGGGAGATCACATCAATAAAGTTCTATCGTTTCTTTCTCTAATCTCGAAACCAATAATACTTATCAACTGATAATACAGAGGAGTCTTTCACAGTACACTCAATAATAAAAACTGGAATTGTAGGGAGAGGGATCCAATCTTCAATGAGATGGGCGGAAGAAGACAGCCAGCAGGCAAGGAGAGACAAGGAGCAGTAGGAGGATGGGTGAAGAGACAGAAAGGGTTATCTCGAAATATCCAAAGGGAGAGAAAGGGGGAGGGATGTAGTATATCCTATTGGGATTAATGCTAAGGAGCTTGGTTTTGGAGGGAGAAATAGTTGACATGTCACACTGTGAGCTTTGCAAGTTGAGTAACTTGTGTTGTTCCAAAATCTTAAATACAAGTCACTTCATAATATATAAATGTTTATGGTTAATAGGAAAACAACATTGCAAGCCTCAGCTTCAGAGCGAGTGTTGAATTGTTATTAGGCTTGTTGTTTAATAAATTAGAAGCGGTATCAAACTAGACTTGTCCAAGTTGCACCATGTGAGCACTTGATCTAAAAGCTTAGTATTTGTAGGCATTGTGCAAGGATAGTGTTTTGTTATCACTTCTCATGTCAATAAAAATACCAATAGCGTATATTCTCTTTTCTCCATTTCCATCAATGCCTATAGTTCAAATATATATGATGGTATAAATACGGGTATAAAGACAACACAGTCCCGGGGAAATACATTCTATCCAGTTCACCATCTATCTGTTGAAAAAGAAAATATTAGGACGAAATTGGGTGTATAATGTAGCAAGTATAGGATTCACTACAAATAACAAACCAAACACACACACTCTTGCTAAGGTAGAAAGGTACTTATTTTCATGATTTCATCAGAGAAGTAAGACTAACCTGTTGCTAGTAGAAACTCATTGGGATGAAAATCTATACACTGGATCTGGCCTTCGTGACATTTAAAGTCATGCAAGAGCTTCCCTGCAGTCAGATCCCATAACTGCCAAAATATACATTATAATTTACATAATTGATTAAAAAAAACAATAGATTCTTATTTGCAAACGAAGCACAGCATGCCAAAATTACATTAATCACAATTCATAAAAATATTAAGATAAATATACTGCGTACTATGCAATAAGTCCATGATAATGAGTATAAAATTTTACCGACTTTTTCAAGAAGTCATACTATAGTCTATACTAATTGAAAGATTGGATAATTTGCTTCCAACTCAGCGGCAAGGGGAACATTTCTTCTATATAACAAACACACATTGGAGAAAAACATTAAAAAAAAGGTAATCACTAAAAGTAGACTCAAGAATGCAGCAAACTGTCCATTCTCTCTACATGCCACTAGAGCTAGTTTACGGCAAACGACATCATCAAAGCAATGCAAGCATTTCCCTCCAATCAAATGCACAAAATGAATGCATAAACAGAACACAACCACAAAATTTTAGCCCCTTTATTTCTGGATAAGCTTTTATAAAAAGCCATGGAAAGTTAAGGTTTGCATGTTTAAAAATAAATTTTGTATTGCTTGGATTGTGATAGGGAAGTGTAATACAAGCTTCAATAAGACCATTCTACACACCAATAAAGAGCAAACACCTCAAGAAATCTACATAGTACCTAACACACCAAGATTAGATTCCCATTCAGTTTGTGAAGAAGTAGCAGTCCACAATACAGCCCTAGCTGGCCTCATAGTACACCAATAATTTTGCGAATCCTGCCATGGACAGCTTAATTTCTTCTTTTATCTTTACTACCATTACCATGTGTATACCTTCAGATTATCATGTTTATTCTTTTCACCTGTACTACCATATTATGTGTATAACCTCAAATTATCATGTTTATTATACTCACTTCTATATCTGTTCTCTCTCACTCACCCAGTAATGGAGTATAAGACTTTTCTTAGCTACTGCTTTGTGTAACAGTAAAGAGAAAAACATGCATATTCTGTATTAAGGTACATGTTTGAACAAACTTCTCTAAAAGGACTTCTAGGAAAGAAAATGAAATGAGCTTTTCTACAAGTTAGAATTAACTTATGAACAAGTTAATACAAGCTCTCTCATATAGCTATTCCAACTTTTTATCTTTTAACTTGTCCAAAAGCTAATTTTAACTTCTGAAGACACTGATCTTTTTTTTTATCCTTTTTATCTCTTAGAAGTCTTTTTAGTAAAGTTTGTCCAAATATACCCAAATTAGTATAGGATATTCTTCCAGCTAAGCCAGTGGTTATGCCAGCTGTATTTTCTGTTATGGGTAGTTACTTAACTACCCCTATCTGTGTATTATTAAAATATGTTCTCTATACTCAGATATCAGAATATCAATAAAATCAGAACTTATATCCTCTTTCAGTTCTTTCACCCTCTGATTACAAGCATTTCATGGAACAAGGTTACAACAGTAGACACCTGAACTTGCTATTTTTCATTGAGGGTATTCATTATCATGCACATAACCCAGCAGTTTTCATTCCGTGGTTCAATATGTACCAAGCTTGAACTGCAAATCTTAGTTATTTTTATTTGAGGCAAACCATGCAATACATAGGTATATATGGTTCAATATGATTGACTTATTTTTCCTTGTATAGTTGAAAAACCATGCAAGGCAGGTCTAGTTATTGAATCTGACTCTGATAGTATCATGAAAAGGGAAAGCAATTATAACCTTTACAGTATTGTCCTCTCCACCTGAAACAACCCAGCGTCCATCTGGGGTAAACCTGATTGCATTTACCCCTCGAGTGTGACCTTTGTATGTATGGATACAACCCTTCTTTCTGATGTCCCATATCTTAAGATTGGTGTCTAAAGAACCAGATGCAAAGAACTCTCCAAAAGGATGGAAGTCCACTGATGTACAATTGGACCTATGACCAGTAAGAGTACGAACAACTACCAAAAGAAACACAGCAAGTCAAAGAATAAATTTGTCGGTATGGGCAAGAAAAAGTACTGAATAAATTCTGAGATTAATCAAATCTCTTTTCATTGGTGAATTAAAACCATTTAAAGTGAATGGCAAGAAACTGCGTACTCTTTGCCTCTTCTAAGTCCCAAAGTTTGATAGTGCCACTTGCAGCACCAGCAGCTACCAAGACTTCAGAGGAATCAAAGCTTACGGAGTCTATTCCACTTGAATGTCCTGACAAACTCTGCAGTACGGGAAACAGATCTTACTTAAAATACAGAAACAAATATTATTTTGTCTACAGGAACATATTTCTGTAAAATATGATTGAGACAGACAAAAGTAAATAAAAAGATGATGGCAGCATTATTGGTGTAAAAACAAGAAAAAGAATGTATCTAGATAAGAAACTGATCAGTTGTCCCCAACGGCCAAGAGGACATCCCAATAGCTAAAAACTGAGTACCATCTAGGTTCTAGAAGGTCTAATGGGTTGAATTTGTCAGAATGGGATAAGCAGCGCAGCACATATTGGGTTGTTTTCAACTGAAACCAGAAAAAAAAATGGAATCCACTCACTTTGAACATTTGAGAGAGGAATCCCTTTCACCTAATCTCAAATATATACCATAAAGATGTCAAAACAAAAACACCAGAAGAGGATAATTTCTAGCTTTAAAATTTATTGGTCTGTTTAAATTTAATCCCGACCAACTAAACCAAAGCCCGAATACATCGAGCGTAGTCACAATATGTAAGAACAAACCCAAATAAAAGAAATGGAAACGATGATGTCGTGGTGTGACATTAGGTATAACTTAGTAAATTAATCCGAAGGTACCCTGACGAGAAGTTTTCATGCAACACCATTTTCATCAGCGGCCATTTACTGTGCAAACTAGTTTGGAACAGCTCCAAATAATAAAAAATGATTTTCAAATGTGAGAGGGAACAAGAAGCCCGCACAAGGAAAACAATGCTAATAATTAAGGCGCAACTAAAAAAAGATGAGGAGAGAGGAGGAAAACGAACCAGTATGGCATTAGGTTTGCCAATAGCCCAAAGATTGACCTTGTGGTCTTCACCTCCAGTGACAAGAACCCTGGATGATTTACGTCCAATCTTGAGGCAGTTGACGGAAGAAGCATGTGCTACAAATTCCTCTGGACATAACTCATCAAGGCCAAGCCAACCAGCAAGTACCAACCATAACCCACACACACAACAGAAGAATAACAAAGCAAAGTGGGCAACAGATAGCAGAGAGATCTGAAGATGAAAAATAAAATGAATGGCAAGAGCACAGCATAGATCAAACAAAATGCAGAAATGCCAAGAAGGATACGAAGCTTGTAGGCGCGTTTGGTAGTCATCGGTATGAATAAAAAACCCTAGCAATTGCAGTAGTGACAGGAACAGCAGCTCTCGATTAGAGACATTCGAGTCCCGAGATCTAATTTGGTCCACAAAGATACCCAGATCTTCGCTACCCAAGCTGCTCCAGGCCCCCACAAAATAAATGTCGGTCACGGCAGATCAAAATGGAGAGAGTGAAACTGAAATGAAACAAAGACCAACCGAACCTAACCTAACCTTCTTTTTTATTCTTGTTCTTGTTAGGTAAAGGGCGGTTGGTTGCAGTTGCAGTAGCAGAAGAGATTGCTTCAGAGTTCACACAGCATGATTCAAACAAGTAACCCACGTAGAGAGATACATTAAATTGTGCCTGCTCTTCTCAAAATTTTCCACAACCAGAGAGTGTGTGACTGATACGATAAGCCTGAAAGGTTTACGAATTAACAGTAATAATGCTAACGCCGCCGTCGCATGGAGCGAAGGACTCACCACTTCCTTGGATCTAGGAGTGAGTGAGTGAGCGAGCGAGCGAGTGTGGGAGCCAAAAGCTGAAACTGCTCGGCGCTTTCACGATCTCTGCGTGACCTTGTCCCTCGGTAGTCGGTAATCGTAATGCTTATGTTCAAATTAACCTGAGAGTGGGAAGGTTCAAAATATATTTGTAAAAATAGATAGAAAAAAGGAAAATATGTAAATAAAAATAGGAAAGCTACGTTCCACGTTTTATCCTCTCTCACCTCCCTCCCTCCGCAAATCAAAATTGAAAAGACCACACAACAAAACTCAACTCCAATGGACTCCCTTCACCTTTCTCATCTTTAGCTACTACCTTCCCTAATCAGTCGTCATCTTTCACTCACTCACATCACAACCACTGTTCATTCCACCTGTACCTTTTTTTTTCATAACTTATTTTCAAATTTTATTTTAGAATATGCAGTGTGCACTTTTTTTTAGTATTTTTTCCCTGACTAAACCTTTTTATAAAAATACCAAAAGTAGACTTATGCCGAATTAAATTATGTTAAGGATTTTGTTTTAAAAAAGAGTAGAATTCGGTCTCTAATGTGAAACACTGTGTTCATAACAGATGGTGATTGGAACTCTGAAAAATCGAGTTTCGTTTAAGGTTTTTCATTTTTTAAAATGGTGAAAAGTGAAAGGGAGGAAAAATGTAAAAAAGAAAAAAACAATTAAAATTAAAAGTAATGGTTACAAATGTGAAATTAAATTTTAATTTGGATTAAAAGAATGAAAAAAAATATTAATAAAGAATAGTAAATGTTGAGTATAATTTCAATTTCCGTTTTGTAAACTAATTTAGAATGTAAATTATTATTGTAATGATTTGTGTAACAATTTAATGAAACACCGAAGAAAGTTATAAAAGTTTAATACATTGATATTATTATTATTCATTGTAGAAAGAAATTTAATGGAATATATAGCAAAAAAAATTAGTAAGAATTTAAAGTTGAATATTAAAATTTTATGTTTTGTTTTTGTGAGTTTAATAACAAAATAAAATAAAACAATATTTACAAATAGAATAAACATCCCAAAATATGTTACTTGAAGTATGTTTTGTAATGGTTAACAAATTTTTCTAATATTAGAAACCAACAATGACCATATACGATAGTCATTGGGAAAGGTCCTTACACATCAAAATGTATTAGAGTAAAAGAAACATTACTTTTATTCAAACTCGTATGATATGAGGTTTTATGGCTTTTAGCAAAAATACAGGTATCACATGTAAACTCAGTATTTTTTAAATTTAAAAATAAATGTCTTAGATAACTGAATGGTAGATGTCCCAAACAACGATGCCATAACCATATTTCTCGTTCTTTGCTACTAAAATGTTGGTGCACATGATATGCTTCTCCTTTGCTAAAATCATCTAGGTAGTATAGCCCTTCTCTCTTAGCACCACGCTCAATAATCTTCTGGTTGAAAATATCCTGAAGAAGGCAAAATGTGAAGTACATTAATACCACACTATTGAATTCTTCAATTATTTGACTTACATACATTTATTTATTATATAGTGTAAGAACAATGAGAATGTGAGATAAGGAAAGTGAGGGTGATAATGTCATAGTTCCAATGCTTGTGACTAGGTATGTAATTTCATTTGCATTTGCAATGCAAGTCTTAGTGGCAGGGTTGAATGGGAGAAGTCAATGGAATCAAATATCATATGGTTTGTTGCCCCAAAGTCAATAATTCATGCACTTGCATACCGAGAACTAAAAATTAAAATGAAAAAAAAACAAATATATATATTTTTCTTTTTAAGAGATTTTTTTTAAAAACATAATATTTTTTAGATTTTTTTTGTTGACATGCTTTTTTTCTAGTTTTCTTTCTTGATTTTGTAATCTTCTTTTCAAATAAAATTTATGTTTTCTTTAAATTTATTATTTAACTAGTTTTTGAATTTTGATGTTTATCCATTTATTAAGTTTGATTTTTAACACAACTTATAACTTATTAGTTGATATTTCACGTTTCAAGACATTACTTATATTTTCTACAACTTTTTATAGTTATGCAAAATATTTCTAACTAAAAAGTGTAAGATTAAATTAAAACAAATATTGACCTCTCAAATATATAAAAACTCTCATTTATGTTTATTGTGCAATGATTATGTGAATTTATTATTATTTGTCATTCGATCAGTTTGGATATACAACAGACCTTTCAGGCAGAACAATACTTGGATTTATGAGTGAATAGTTGGAGATTGGGGAATTGGACTTGAAGACTTGATCTCATACCTGAAACATTTTGGCACTCACCATAAGGTTGAGCGAGCATCTCTTAATCCCATAGTAACCATAAGAAACACAAGGAGCAATATAGTAATAGAAGATGTTAGCGAGCAACATGCCAACCATTCAGCTTAATTGTTCAGCCTCTTTTAGCTTCAACATGTTGGCCTCGTTCAGTCTTAACCGCTTGGTTGTTCGACCTCAACATAACTTCATTTGGCTTCATCATCTCAACCTCATTTAGCTTAAACATCTTAACCATTTAATTTTGACTGCTTGCTCGTTTGACATTAACATAACCTCATTCGGCTTCATCATCTCAACCTCATTTGGCTTCAACATCTCGATCTTTCGGTCTCAACCACCTGAATGTTCGGCCTAACATAGCTTCGTTCGACTTCATCATCTCAACCTCATTTGGCTTCAACATATTGATCATTCGGTCTAGACTGCCAGGTCAATTAGCCTTAACATAACCTCATTTGGCTTCATCATCTTAACCTTATTTGGCTTTAACATCTCGATCGTTTCATCACGACTGCCTGGTCATTCGACCTCAAAAGAGTCTCATTTGACTTCATCATCCCTACCTCATTTGGCTTCAACATCTTGACCTTTCGTTCTTGATCACTTGTTGTTCAAATTCAACACAACATCATTCGACTTCATCATCTTAACCTCTTTTGGCTTCAACAACTCATTTGTTCGACCACAACTGCATCTTAGCCTCTTTCAGCCCAATTTATCGACTTTTCAACACTAACATCTCGATCCTTTAGCCTCAACCATTTGTCTTGGCCTCATTTGACCTCAATCTTTCGACTTCAACTTTAGACTCAACATGTCGATTTTTCAGTCTTAATTACTCTGTCATTCAACTTCAACCTTAACTTATCTACTTTTCAGTCTTGACAACTCGGTCATTTGGCCTTAATCGTTCATCTTGGCCTTATATGACCTCAACTATTCCACTCGCCCTCAAATTATGTCGTCTCTTCAATCTTGACACCTTGGTCATTTGGCCTTAATTGTTCGTCTTGGTCATTCGGCCTCGATCATTCGGCTCGACCATTCAACCTCAACCAATCGACATGTTTGGACAATGTATGGGGTTCCTATTCTCATGCCACAAAGATTCATTCGGATGTTTAAGGAAGAGTTCTTCCAACGAATTCCTATTGAACTAATCACCAGGTTGGTTAAGGAAGTGTTCACCAAAATGAATCCCTACCGCATCCTTTAGCCCATTGGTCAAGGAAGCGTTCTACCTAACCCCATGTCGATGGAGTAGTCAAACAGTTAAGGAAGTGTTTTGGAAAGTACCCTTGTTGTGTCATAAGCGATCGACTAAGGAAGAATTATGAAAAGAACCCCTGCCAAACCACTCACATTAAAAATGGTTGAAGTCCATATGCAAAGAATTCTTACCATACGGTCTAATTATAAGGGTTAAGGAAGAGTTTTTCAAAAAGCCCCTACCGCACAGTTTAACTTAAACAATTGGTGAAGGGTGAGTTGCAAAGAACCCCATCACACTAAAATTTAACAACTTAACTTAAACATGGTTAAAGACGAGTTCCAAAGAACCTAAACCACATGCAGACCACATCTAAAGAACCTTTCACTATCTTCTTTCTCCTTTCACAATCAAGCCACAAATCATCAACTTAACATTGTAACCAAAGGTTTAACTCACTTAAATGTGTCTCGATTGCTTCAAAATTAGCCAATCGAGCTTCCAATTCCTTTTGAGCTATTTGGCAGTTAGAGTGAGTATGAATGACGTCCTTTAACTTAGAATTTAATTTCGCATTGGCCTACAATGCTTGCTCCAAATCTAATTGAGCCTTAAACAACTCCTTCTTTAATTGGTTAGCTATTACTCCGACACTTGAAGACACCTTGAGGCTTAATTATGTCACTTAAGTGTTGAGCGCTACAATGGCATCTATCGTTTCTAGCTCGTTGACCAATACACCAGACGACAAATAATCAACCCCGAACAGTCAATTTGGATGATCAACCAATAGAATATAATACAAGTCATTATGGTCAACCAATGGACCAAACGACAATTAACAACAGATCGAACGAAAAGTCACCAACTCGAATGGTCAACCAACAAACTTGATGATAAGTCACCAACCTAGACAATCAACCAATTTATTGAATGGTCAATCACCAAACTGGACAGTTAGACAACAAACTATACAGCCAAACAACAAATCAGATGACCATTCACCAAACGAGGCAGTCTAAACCAAACTAAAGAAGATAAACTCCAAAACCATTTCACTTAAAGGTTAAATCAAGATTAGTCATGTTTGGGCATAATTAGACTAGTTTTAATAAAAAAAAACCATGACAAAATCTTTAAATAGTGGTTTGTAGTAAGGAAGTGAGCTACACATTAATTACAACATTCATTGCTTTATGCCTAAATTAATCTGACTTTGACATTGGAGTATTTTCTGTAGGTGTCATCCTTGATGTACAAGGGACTCGACAGACCGAAAAAGACTTGGATTTATATGTGAAGAATTGGAAGACGAATAGTTGGACTTTAATATTTTCCTCCACTCACGAAACAATTCTTAAAATATATTTTGAGAAATTCATTAACAAGACTTAATAGAAAAAAAATGGAAAAGTTTAATCTTCACCAGATCCTTTTTTTGGCTGAGTACTTCTTTTTTTTTTCGTGTCAAATGGATTATCAGTTTTGCAAAATTGCTCCAATTAAAGCTCTGCCGTTAAATTGGGCCAGCACTGTTAGAGTGATGTTGACGTGACATGCTGATGGTGCAATTTTTAATTGACGTAGGCAGTTATTTCGTTTTGGTGATTCTGACGTGTATATTAATAATCTTTAATTAAAGAAATTGATAAATTTTTTAATTAAACTTAGGACTTTCTTCGAATTAAAAACTGCGAAAAGAAACCATGCAACACTAGTTCGTCTTCATCGCAAGCCTCACACTACTACAAGCTACCAAAATCACCACTACTAGTCACCACAAAATCGCACATCA